TAGTGCAGTTGTTGAATGCATGGCTTGCAAGTAGAGGGTGCAGGATTTGAAACCCATCTATTGCATGTTTTTTAACAATGCAAAGATTTTATACAATTAAATAAAATATTAAAAAAAAACCACGATGGTATACATGACCCAGTCAACAAACAGATCCTGACCACGTGTCTGCATCTCAAATGGAATCTTGGGGTAAAAGATTTTTATTGATGGAATCTATGTTTGTTAAGGGGCGAAAAGTATTTTTTTAAAATGGGGTAAATCAAATCTCACTACTATTGCAGGGGGTAGAAGACATGGATTTTTAAATATTAATTTTTTTTCTTTCTCCATCTCACAATTCTTTTTTTTTTGTATAATTATTGTTCATTTTACAATTAAGTAAATCATTTTAAATTTTGCATTCGTATCTAAATACATTGTATATCACATCAAATAATTTTTTTATCTCACAGGTCATTATCAACATAATATCTATTTTATTTTAATCAACAATTATCTTTATTTGAGAGAAAATTTTATTTTTAAATGTTAAATTTTCATTTTTTTTCTCCATCTCACATGTCCTTTTTTATATGGTTATTTAATATAATTGAATTTATTTGATTAATGTTCATTTATAATTAAGGCACTCATTTTAAACTTATATGTGTCTAAATATATTTTATACGATATCAATAAATTTACCCGCCCGGGAGCACGGGTATCTTACTAGTTAGTCATCATAAAGATATACATACATTAGCATCAACAAAGACATATAGGGGATTCAGGACAAAACCTAATCACCTTTCGCATTTTGATAACCTTTAATTCACATGATTGTGCACCTTGTTAAATTGAAATCCCCGAGGAAATGATCTTTTAATCATTATTTCGACACTATCGATATATTTTCTGATTTGTCAACATAGTTTTGGCCCATTGTCATGGATTATTAATAATTTTAACAAGACAACTTTTGTGCGACGTTTTAAGTTTTAAGTTTTAGTGTTATATTAGTTTGTTAATTTTTGTTTTTAGTTTCTTGCTTAATTAGTTTTTGTTTGATATAATGCCATTGAAGGTATTTCTTATTATTTACGCAAGATTAATTCGAAGCTGAAATAATTCGATTAGAAAATCAAGAGATACAAACCATGGGAGACTACTGCAAATAAACTGATGCGGGACAAAGTTCTATGGATTTTCAACCTGCCAACCTCGTTGTTTTTGTTATTAAGAAATCTTTTCTTTTAGGTTTGAGAGAGAACTAGTTTGATGGTCAGGTAAAGAATCATCCTTGGGAACATATGTGGACTTTGAAAAGGTTGAAAACATGACGCTTCCATTACCTATACCCTAGATTTTTTATTTTTTGAAGTGAAAGCTTCGACATAAAAAGTGTTATTTGTAGTAGTGTCTGAAGACTTTGGAAATGTGAAGAATATGCATATTACATATAAGCTTCTCTTTAGAATTCTAATTATCTTTTTGATTCCCCCAGAAGGTAGTACTGATTAGATATCATGGGATAACATATAATTCAGTTGGTTTCTGGTGAATGAAGAGAAGATCAATCTGGTTTCATACATCTTCAGTCATCTTTGTGAAGCTATCAAGGAAAGCTACAATAATGACAAGAAGAATGTACCTTATACTAGGATTCTGTTTGAACTATTACATCATAGCAAATTAATTGAGACCCTGAAGAAAGTTAGAGCTACTCAGGATTTGGAAGAATCCTTTGGAAGCATGTTATTTGTTGTTGTTATGGGAAATATGAAAATCATTATAAATAAGGAAGTTGTGAATCCAGAATAAGGACTAAGAATTAGAAATGACAAGTCTGTATATATTGAGGATTTTCGTAACATCTCTAAGTTGGAAAACCTATAGGTGATTCAGGAGTATATCAAAATGGCTAGAGTATAAACTATAGTTATTTTGACAATAGATGATATTCCATATGCACCATAAGGAGTGTACATTCCTTCAAGGAAGAGAAAAGAGTCTGCATCTAAAGCTCAAAAGGAGATTCAGAAGCCATCTAAGAAGAGGGATTTATCATTTATTCAAAATGAGGTAGTCTCATCCACTGTCTTGATGCCTACTAAGACTAGGAGTGGAGCCTCTGGAAAAACTCATTTGAAGACAACTTCTTCACCTGTCATATCAGCTCATGTGAAGAAACTCAAGAAGTTGATATTACCACATGAAGAAGTTATTGAAGAGGAAGTAGAGGAGGAAGATAATCAACCTTTTTTTAGGAAGACCAACGAGATGAAGAAACAGGCTCCTGAACTGCTTAAAGAAATTGTGCAAGAAGGAGTTGTTAGACGAAGACAACGTATCTAGAGGGGGGTGAATAGATACCCCTTTAGAAAATATCCAGAACATTATGGTTTTGAAAAATTAGTTTTATCAAAGCGCAAAACAGAAGCATTTTCAAAATGTCGTCTTTTACAAACGTTATTGGAAACTCATATATGCAAATGCAAACACAGAAGTCAATATGGAATAAGAAGGATACTTGAATTAACATGCTTGAATCACTTTATAACTTATTTAACATTTAATGCAAGTTACAAGTAAGGATATTTCCAATGGCAATATTAACAGAACAAGTTAAATCAATTTATCAAACACTTGGTGTGCAAGAGATTTTTTCAGAATTTTTCCTTGAGTGTTGATACACAAAACCACTTATAATAAAAAGTGATTATAAGCTATATCAACACTTTATTTAAAATAAAAAATAGTTCGGAAAATTCTTACGATTCAATTGATAATGTAATGTTATTTAACAAATTGATCAATTAAAATAAAAGCAAGTAAAAGCAAAATAAAAGAGACACAGGGAATTTGTCTTCATAGTTCCCCACTGTCGTCCTCGTGTATGGATACGTTTGCGTCTAATTCCAATGAAATTAGGATAATTCTTACTATGTAAAATTGTTGATACAAGAGAAGTGTTCGAGAGAAACTCCACAAACCCTAATGCTTGTTGTTGATTCAACCCCTTCTCTTCTTTTGATATTAAGAAAGACCAAGACACAATAATTCCAAATTGACAACAAGATCTTGCCACTCCTTTGCATTGTTTATCTCCAAAGCTTTCGCGCACTGTCAATTTCAAACTATTGCAACACAAGACTTCAATTGTAATCCTCCGTTCCCGTGCTACTTCCTTTGTGTTCTTTATCTCCAAATGATCCCTTGCATTCTTTATCTCCAAAGGACTTCACTTGGCCGCAATTACCTCTCAAACGTCTTACATGAAAACCCCCAAATCAACCATTGATCTTGGAGGATAAACCCGATGTTTTTCCAGGATGAAAACCCCTACAAAGCTCAACCAAATAAACAATTTGACACTAACAATCTTCGTCTAGATGGTACCCCTAATGGAACATCATTACAATGTAATGTCAATATGTATGCATAGATTGGAGGTTGAAGATAAAGAGAGAAATAGGTTAATTTTATGGTTTCACCAAGTTATGAATGATGCATGAAAGAGTATTTATAGTTTTAGAATTATTATGGAAAAAAGGATATGTTTGGAAATTAGAAGAATACAAAATTTGATCAAACTATCAGTATGAGCCGACATGTGTATCGTATGTGTCGACACATACTTTATTTTTAAGTTGTATATCTCAACCTGTGTAGGACTATGTGTCGACCTAACCAAGACATAGGCTATAGGCTTTAAAATGATAGCAAGTGTGTCGACCTGAAGGAAGGATGTGTCGACACATAAAACAAGAATTTCCGTAATTTTAGAAACACTTCAGTATGTGTCGATCTATGTAATACTTGTGTCGACCTGAGACTTACACAAGCTACATGCTTTAAAAATGAGTTACATGTGTTGACACACGCAACGAGAATTTGAGGAAATGCAGATTTTTAATGACTTGACTTAATTTTAAAGTGACTTTTGATGATTTCCAAACAACCTATGACTTCTAAATGATCAGAGTGCACACTAAACTCAGAGATAATGTCCAACCAAAGAAATTACAGATTCTCATATTTTTGACATCACTCAAAACACTTAAGGGACCAAGTTTCACTCACAAGAGCCAATATTCTAGCATATGCTTTGAGGGATAAGGCTTTGGAAAAGCCATAAGTTGGGGAGATTATTGAGAAATAGGCCAAGGAAGTATAAGCTAATGCTAAAATTATTTTGAAGAATTCTAAGGGAACTTCTAAATCTCGGGTTCTACAATTCACAATGGATGTTACAGAGTCTTAAGCCCCATAAGCTAATGTGGGTACAAAGACAATTTCTGAAGCTTCAGATGTTATAGAAGTTGTAAACTCAAGTATTATTCTGGATCCTATCTATGATTCTGTTTTAGATTCTTCTTGTCCTCGATTTGTAACCAAATAACCAACCCTACATCAATCACCTACACATTCCTCTAAGCACACACCCTCACCCAAACCTGACATGTTTCTACCCTTAGAAACTGTCATGCCTTCCCCCTAAATCAATCTCAAGCTTTGATTCTGATGAATCATATTTTCAACCTATAGAAGCCACACCACTTCAAGCCATACCTTTAGAAATCACAACATCTGAAACTCACCAACCAAAAGACTAAACCAACCTTGTTCAATATGAACCTGAACTTGAACTTGAATAATCCGAGCCAGACCAAACCATTAGTCAGATTCATACCTCAAGAAATTATCCAAGGACCATTTGTCATAGATGAATTGTCTAAACATATAGTTGGTGAGTTAACTTTAGAGAATAAATCTGAACAAAACCAACTAGTGTATATTCTGGAATCTGACCAAACATTATCAGAAGCACAATATCCTGACCCATAAACCTCTCAACCTCAACATTTCAATCATCATTCTTCCCCTTCAAAAGAACCAGATGATATGTTAGAATCTAGCACAATAGTAGATCTTTCTCTTAAGAAATAGCCCCATATGTCTCTTCACCACCTCAACTAACTCACAATATGAACCCTTCACCTCATATCCAAGCCTAAATGAAAGAACTTAGAAATGTTATCTTTGATAGAATTCAGGATATGGTTGTTGAGAGACTCATAACATCTGACTCTATTGCTTATGCTGCTAAGTGGGACACTCTCATAACCTATGTGGATACAACTCTGCAAAATCAAAAGACGTTCACTCATGAGTCTGTAGCTTCTTATAGCCAGAAGCCAGAGCACTTGGAGGCTAAATTGGATAATGTATATGCTAATAAATAGGTAATGAGAGCTCGAATTTAGCCTGTGGTTGCTAATCAAGACTCTCTAGTCAACAAACAAGAAAAAATGGATGCTCAGTTGAAGTTTGTGGTTGCAAGGAAAAATTATATGAGGTCATATATTAAATCTATTTTGGAGATTTTGAATAAATCACCCTAGGCCTTAGGACTTAGCACCTTTATGTTGGTTTTGAATTTTTTTGCAATCTGGAAATTATTTTATTTGGTTTAATGATATTTTTCTTCAGTATCTTTTCTTGTTTCCTTTATTTTTTTGGTTGATGAAAAAATGGAGAGTAAGATAGTTAAAAGCTAATTCTTGCTTAAATTTTGAAGAATAATTTATTGTGCTTTAAAGATCAACTTTAATTAATATGGATAGTGTAACACTTAAAATTTAGAATTATTTATTTTATTGATTACTTGTGATTTATGATGAATATTATGTGACTTGAGAATGATATGTTGTTGGGTAATAAGTGGGAATAAATGTGATAATTAGAATTATTTATAATTAAATAGATTTAGTTATATTATTTAGAATTATGTTAATAATTAAATAGGATATTAAGGTGAAAAGGAGAATATAAGCGTAATGGTAATTGTGTATGAGTTAAGTGAGGACATAATAGGAAAATGATAGAAATAGTCTAATGTTAACAAATGAAACAAGAAACAGAGGAATCAATTGGTACGATTGTGAAAAGTTGGAGAGACCGTGAAGTGAGAGCTATGGCACAGAGAACCAAAGAGAGATTTTTGTAGAAACCGAAGGAAGAATCAAATTGATAGGAATTTGAGGTAATGGATGTGATCAGGTTTATTATGATTGCTATGAGGTTAAGGTAGATGTAGGATTTTATTTTGTATGATGATTTGATGAAAAGTGTGATAAAAAACACGATGAAATCATTGATTGATGATGTTTGTATACTATGAACTATGTCCATAATGATGTGATTATGTGTTTTGATCTTAATATGTGATTTATGAGGTTTATAATGCATTTTGGAATGAGTATGATGTCTGGAATAGAATTGGTTTGGCATGGAACAAAAGCAAATTCACAACTGAGAAGTTGTTGTATCGCACGCGTCGTCGAGCGAGTCGCCCAAGCGTCCTTGAGCGAGCCAGCAGAGAGAGTAGTATGGAAAAAATAAGGCTCATGGGAAATGTGTATGGGTGGGGATCTTCGCCAAAGCTTCGTCGGGCGAGCGAAACAGCGATGGTCCCAATCACGAATTTTGTCGAGCAAACTTCAGGAGAGAGAGAGAGAGAGGCGAGCAGAGTGCCACCAGGGCCGCAGGCGGGGCTTAGGTGAGCAGTCTGGCAGTAAAACTTCAAAGTATCGTAACTTGAGTTTTATGACTCTGTTTGATGCAGGCGTTTATAGCATTGGTAAGCTAATAGACATAACTATCTTATGGAAGAATCATGTGAAGAATTTGGTGTATTATTCCTGTGTTTATAAATTCAGGAGTTTGGATTATTATATGTTAGTATACTATGATTTCTTGTTGAAATGAAGTAACTTGATGTATTGTAATGATGTTACCATGGTGTTGGTATTTGATGATAGTGTGATGATTGAAGATTGAAGTTTAATGATGTGCATGTTTAATATGTATAGATGCTATGTGAAGATAATTATGTGAATTATGATGAAATTGACTAGAAGTGGTCTAATTTTATGTGACATTGTTTTGCATCATGCATTCATGGCATTTTTGGAGGGTGGTCCGCTTGTGACGTGCCACAATCCTATTGTGCGGATTAAGTGCATTTATGATGTGCTCCTGTTCCAAGAGAGAATCGAACCTATCATGGGGATCATGGAGGGTGATGAACCAGGCATTCATAAATTTCGGTACCACATGCATTGAGTCAGTGTTGTTGCATTAACATCCTATGTGACATTGCATGAATTTTCGCTGATGAGTTGTGATGTGATGATAATTGTGAACTATGTGATTATATGATGATTTGATGATGAAAGATGTCTAAGTTCTATTATTATGTATCACTGAGTATGAAGTGTTGATGGATGATATGTTTTGTTATATGATGATGTCGTTTATAACTACTAATCTTTTCCTTATATCTTTTATAATGAATCATGATTACAAACCCTTTCTGTTTGAATGTTGCCTCCACATGGGTAACAGGTAGTTGCTCAGGAGTAGCATGTAGGAGCGTCAGAGATAGTTTTGTAGTATTTTATTAGTTTTTTTAATTATAAGGTGTCTTGCTCTGATATGTATCATCGGGTTGGGAACGCTCCACTTTGCGAATGTTATATTCCTTTTTACAATGATATACTTCATGACTGTTTTGATTGTTAAATTGATTTTAATTCCAACTTTTGATGAGGCTAAAACATTATGAGTTTTGTTTTATAAAGAAGTTTATTCATGTCGATAAATCCATTGCGATGTTGTTGAATGAGTGGTTTAAAGTATAAAAATGTGTATTTACTATTGATGTAACCCGTGTTACAGACCAGGATTGTTATTAAGATGTTTTTATAAAGTGTGACACCCTTGAGTGGTGATTTTCCTTGATTTATTCTATAAATTATATGAGAAATAATATGGAGTTAGAAGGGTGTCGTACCCCAAATTTTCCCTACCTTTATTTTCAAGATTAAAAATAGAAGATATTTTAATTAGGGAATATTCAACAATATCTGATGGCTTATTCTTAAATCCAAGACAATCAGGGGGTGTATTTTAATTCAGGAGAGTGAGGTTTTCTAAATCAGAAAGACCCGTGAATCTATAGGTCCGTTTACGAAACATGTTGGCCATTGGCCCATGTGATTCGAATATGGGAACCATGCTTCAAAAGGGAATTAAATAGATAAGGCCCAATAAAGGTTTGCTGTAAGAGAAGGGGGTGGAAATTCAAACTGCAAGTCCATCGAGGTTTTGATAAGCCCATTTGACGTCTTAAGAAAAAAATCATTTCTTTTTACTGTTATCCTTGAAATTGTTTTGGCTATCATAATTATCTCATATTGTTAAGTGACACATTTACAATTATTTCATAGGTGTTTATTAAAATATTTTTGTGAGACGAGATTGTTGTGATTAGGGAAAATAGTAAGGAGGCCCATTAAGGGTTTTAAAATTAGTCTATTTGTGGTTGTTACTGTTTTACTTTAGGAGGAGTATTATTATTAAAACTTTTTGTTACTATTATTTTACTAAAAAATATATATATTTCTTTATTATTATTGTTGTTAAACTTTTTTTATTTATTCATCATAATAATGTTTTCATTAAAAGATATTATATTATTAAGGATTGCTGTTTTGAAAAAAATATGTGTTGGATCAAAATTCTTAGGAGGTTAAGGCCCAGTCTGTGCCAAAAATGCTATATGCAAACAAATTAGTTGCTGAGGTTGTGTTAGGCCCAAATTTACTAACATACATTGTGCAGATCAAGAGGAAACGTGCATGTTTCATGGAGCAAACATTTACTGTACAGATCTAAGACTAAATCAAATCTTTTACAAGGAAATAATGCAGAATCAGATATTACAGCAAAGATTCAAAAGCCTAGAATTTCTTATTTACAAACAAAATCCAGAATCTTCATTACAAATCAAATCTCAGCAAAAATATATTACAAAATCAAATCGAAATCAATTACAATAAAATTCTTAAATCCCTAATTTATCTAATATCCCTAATCTAAGCTAACAAATTGTAACATCAAATTCCCTAATTGAATCCTATAAATACGAAACTAAAAATACAGAAAGGGGATTCGGAGCTTGAATACAGAGAAGAAGGAGAAATTTTGAAGAACAGAAAAATAAGATTGTTGGGCGAAAAAGACAGAAGAAGACCAAATCCACTTTGTTTTGCTGTTGAAGACGAAGAAATGAGCGATTAGGGTTTCAACTTCTGAAACCCTAATCGCGTATTCACACCACCTCCGCTTCCACCATCTGTCGCAGCTCTCTTCAAGCATCTCCGAATCCTGTAAATAAAAGAAAAAAGAAAAAGGGTAAATCGACTGGAAGTCGGATCAGAATACAGAAGCACAAAGGGGGTAAATCGACTTAGCTCTATTCTTTTGTTTCTTTTTGTATTGGGTTGGTTTATGGGGGGGGATCGTACTTGAGTGCCGCCGGAGAGGAAAAGGGCATTAGGGTTTATGGGTGAGAGAAGAGGGTGGCTCGCGAAAGAGAAGGACAAAAGGGTCACTGTAAAACTAAAATGTATAAGAAAATTGATTAAAACAAATGTTAATAATCCGTAGCAATCCAATACCTGTGCGTTTACTGTAGTTAACATAGTTCCTCAATTCTATCCACCAGATCTTCATCAGACGGCCGTGAGGCCAAGTCTACCATAAGAGCCATACACCCTCACGTACCTAATTAGCCAGGCCCTTCCAAATCGTGTGGTGGGCCAAGCCCAACTACTTCGTACGCCCCCATTCCATTGTTTTTCTAAAGCATCAAACCATTTACACCCCCTTGCCAAAGATATATTTGGGCCTAACCCAGATTCCTTTTCACACCCCAATCTTTTTACTATCCAGTTTAAAACGTACCCCCCTGATTAATTTTAATAATTTCTATAATTTTATTATTTTCTATGCTTTCTTATTTATATATTATTTATTTATATATTATTTATTTATATATTATTTATTTATATATTATTTATTTATATATTATTTATTTCTCTTATTATTTCTTTTTTATAATAATAATAATTATTATTAATATTAATTTTTATTTATTATCATGTATTATTTATATTATCATTCAAATATATTATTTTATTTAAAAACTCATGTAGATATTTTTCATATATTGCATTAAAATGTTTTTTGATCTTGCATTAATTAAGAAATTTTGCCATTAATATTATAAAAAAATATCTAACAAATCCTAAACTCTTTTTCAAAATAAACTAATCTAAACAAACATTTTTTGCTAAAGGGTTCCAAATATATTTTGACTAATCGCACATTTAGTCCA